ACAGGATGTTCTCGCTTTACATGTACGCACAAAAGCTGAAGTTAAACATGAGTGAGCAAAATAGCAAGGCATTTTGCAAGCAATTCGTGTGTTATTCAAGTGTGTAAACCTGAAGCTACATGAACCAGACAGAAGAACCAGTTCTAAGTGTTTGTCTTTTATTCTAGTTTCATTGTAGTAGGTGGTTTTCAAATTGTACCTTTCATCTTTATCTAGAAGCAATTGTATTAGGTACTCTGAGTATTCAAGTTAGAGTTAACTTAAAGTTGTCGCAACAGTTTAGAGGCTGGTTACCACAATAAGATTAGAGGTAATCCTTAGGTTTACAAAAAGTTTTTGTAAATTGTGTTTTGGCTCAGTGATTTAGTGAAGTGTTGGGGAAAATCCTACTGAGTAGTAGGTCATGGTTTTTTCACCTTTTGAGCCGGGTGTTTTTCACGTAAAATACTTGTGTTCTTTACTTTCCGCATTTATTATTTCCGCAATAATCGTTTAAGGAACACATAGAAGAACCAAGTCCTTTTATAATCTGTGCACGCGTAAATTGGATACCACATAATTCACCCCTTGTGTGGCATTAAAGTACAAAACATCACACAAAAAGCCAATAACAGAAAATTAAAATGATAATCAAGTCAACTCCCACATCCACTTTAATAAAATGGTGTAGGGCTCATACTCGATGGAAATTATTATAAGGCGGAGCTAATCCCGTATATGTGAACCGTACTTTTCAGTTTTCATATATCTTGTACTTCTGTTTTGTTGTTAATAAAAATTTTAACAGAGATTTGTTTCTTATATCCATTCAATTGGTTGTTATGTTTGTTGGTAGTATCAACTTGATACTAATATAAAACACAAGGGCTGCTGCCACCCATATATTGGACCCCTACTCACCCTTTTAACCTATTTCGCGCCAAATAATTTTTTTAGAAAAAATCAAATATAAATATTGTTAGGTCAAAAAAATTGTTGGAGAACAAGTGGGTTACATACCAATAAAAGATTAGTTTTCTGTTACGGAGATCATGAATTGAACATATTTGGGACGTTGTGGGTGGGAAAAAATTGTTGCACACGACATTTATTCTTCATATATAGTAGGATTAACATCTGTATAGGTCGAGAGTAATGTTAACCAGGATAAATTAAAATTTTAAAATATCGATTAATTGCACTGAATGTCAAGCAATAAACAAACAAAAAAAAATTGTTAAAAGAGGTGCCTGTTAGAGAATTGGATCAATTTGGCCCATACTTCCTTCTCAAAAGTATTTTCCGAAAAAAAAAAAACAGGAAGAAACTATTTTTTCTGCTTCTAATCAAAACCTTTTTTTCTTTCTAAAAGCGTAGTCAAACACCTAACTTTTTATTTAAATATTTTTAATTAAAAAAAAAAACTTTTGAAAAAAAAAAGTTTAGTCAAATAGACTACTCCCTCCGTTCCAGTTTATGTGAACCTATTTCTTTTTTGGTCCGTTCCAAAAAGAATGATCCCTTTCTAAATTTGGAAACAATTTAGCTTGAGTTCTCAATTCTACCCTTAGTGACAAGCTTTTATAACCACACAAATACTGTGGACCCCTTTTTGAGTTGTTTAGGACCACAAATTTCAAAAGTCTTTATTTTTTCTTAAACTCCGTGCCCAATCAAACAGGTTCACATAAATTGGAAATAAGATGAAGAGGGCCGGAAGTAGAAGGAAAAGAGTAAAAAGAACAAATGAAGGAAGAAAATTGTCAGAAGATGAGTTTCTATTCTCCTCTTCACAGACTTGCCATGGCTTCGACTAAGTTGAACCAAAAATGAGTTCAATATCGGCTTCTTAAATTCCCTAGAGCCGTAAATGGTAACAGCTCTATTTTAAGAACTGACCATATACTGATATACATTTATCTGTTTTTTTAATAATCAGGTTAGTTGATTGTACCTTTTATTAATCACCTGTTCTAATTTCTGATAATAAACTAAAAATTTGTAAGCCAACAACTATTTTCCGTACATACATAACTATGTTGCTTGCGTTTGAAAAGTACACATTCAGAGATTGTACGATAAAAAAGTATTTGTTTGTTAAAATCCAGATCTTGCGCAATGTTTACCCACTTTTAGCAGCTATAAAAATTAAGGTCAGAGTTAAGATACCCAATTCCAAGTAACACTGGTTGCTGTACAAAATTTGATGAGAAATTTTTAGTTTTTAATTAAATGACCAAATTTACTCCAAAGTCCCATCGGATTTCATATGAAAAGGCACATAAGTCCTTTAGTTGAATTTTTTTTTGCTGCAGTAGTACAAGTATTGATCTGAAAATGAAACGAAGACAATTTAAATCATTAAGATCAAACTTAGAAATTCTAAGATAATCAATCTACGTTATAATTTTATCCTTCAATTATATCGTATATACCATTATATTCTTTTCCTAAGTTTCACATTTGATTTTAATAATTTGAGAAGTGACTTCAATTATCTGACCAACCTCTCTTCCATGTATATCCGGTAAATGGTAGATGAGGATTTAATCATGAATTATCTTGAGCAAAATTCATTTATAGCCACTCGGACCAAATTTATAACATTCGGTAGCCCAAAATTACAATATATATTTTAAGAAATTTTACCTCATATAGCAAAGGTTTACACCCTATTTATTATTAATCAAAACCGTTTTAAAATATTATTTTCTATAGCTATCTTTTATTTTTTTTTATAGTAAAATAGGTATTTTATGGTATACACCACCATTAAGGCATTAAATGCGCTATATACCATTTTTCTCTCTTATTCTTTCAGTTATTCTCTCCCAAAATCACAACAAAATATATTTCTTCTTTCTCTATCCACGATCTCTCTCTCACACAGCAAGATTGTATTCGCAATTTTTGAAGCACGATTCTCTCTCTCACTTTCAACGTTTTTTCTCCAAAAATTCGTGCTAAGTATTAAAGTTTTCGGGTTTTTGGCCGGTTCAAGCATCTTCTTTTTCTCTTCATTTTTTTTTTAAAATCTTCACCATTGTTAGGTTTTCAGCAGAAAACTTCAAATTTCCTCTTCAATGGCTGATTCAACAACTTTGAAACAAGAGGGCCATTGCAACTTTCTTTTACGCCGGATATTGCAATGGATTCCTCTACACGGATACCGTAATATCTTTTTACGCTAGAGAAGATTCGAGGGTCGGGATTTTTGTTCGTCTCCATTTTTAGTTTTAATACGATTTATACAATATTTTGCTTGGACGAAAAATGCCATCTCCGGCAAACTTTCTTCTCTTCTTTGCTATTTAGTCACATACAATGATACAAATACATTATATTCTGTACAAATTCACTCAAATACCTTGTATTTTTGCATAAATATATTTATTTGCTTGTATTTATGTATTTCGAAGGTTTGTATTTTTTCAATACAGATGAATACATCTGTATTCATGCACGAATACAGAATATGAACATTGAAATACATTGAATACAAACATTAAAATAGAGCAGAATATAAACAATGAATACATTTAATTTTAAAATACAGTAAAATACACATAATACAAATAGAAATGCAGTGAATACAAACAATAAGATATACTGAATAAAACAGTAACAACATGTATTAGGAATAACTAAAATATTGTTAATACAAATGCATTTGAATACGCTGAATATAAAATAGCGAATACAGTAAATACAAACATTGAATCTAATAAATGCAACAGTAAAAAAATTGAAACACACTAAATACAAAATTTAAAGACAACAATTATATACAACTGAAAAATCATTCTAATTAATTGGGTTGATAATGGGATATTTTAGAATTGGTTTTGTTGAGTTATATTAGGAGTGTATCATACCTATTTTTAAGGTGATTGTCGTTACTGTATTTATGAATACACGGCGCGAATACATATGAATACATGCGCGTATAGCTAGACTGTCCTGATTTTAGGCGCTTTTTGCTGCTGTATTCATTAATACAACAGCGCGACTACAGCGAATACACTACCACAACAATTGAATAGTAACTAAAGGAAGTAATTCTGTATATGTTAGCTATATGAAGTTAACAGCCACTAAACAATAGTGGTTTCTGAAAATTCCTCTACATTTTATAGCCCAAAAGTAATTCTAGTGGCTAGCCATCGAATTATACATCTGACCCACAAGCACAAACACAGGTTCGCTGGAGAAATGATTTTCGGCCCAAAATGGTTCAGCCGGAAAACTTCACCGGTCTCAGTAGTGGCCGAAAAATTCACGGTCGCCAGGAAAGCTATATACCGGCCAAACCTGCCGATATCCAAATAGCAAGCAAACCATCTTTTAGATCTAGATTTTCATAATATCAAAAGCCCCAAAAACAATAAATAAAAGAGAAGAAAGACTCGCCAGATTTAAAGGAGGGTCGTTGGTGTTTGAGTTTCCAAAACTCTTCCTCCTATTGTGGGAGGAAGTTGTATTTTCCTATTAGGTCTTTTTCTAGGTTTTGCAAAAATATACTAGTTGGGTACTTACAGTATCATGTGTTGCCAGAACAACATATTGGGTAAAAGGGTATGACAGATCGAGGCGACAAGGTCCATTGTTTGTCGAACAAATACTCTTTGCTTTTTTTATGTTGTACATTGTTGATGAAATGTTCACATTCATGAGCGGTATGATACCTTTGGAGTTTTAATTTATGATGCTAATGTTGTACCTGTCATCTTCCTCAATTCTATATGTAGCTTCTATACCTTAACCAATGAGGTTCACATTAATTCAAGGTTGTAGGCAAATCTGTTACAACCAACTAGAAACAAAAGAAAGCAAGGAATTGTATAGGGCTGTCACTATACAATTTATATACATTAGACTGTCATTATATAAAATATATACAAAAATAGACTGCCACTATACAAAAAATATACTCAATAGACTGTCATTATAGCCAACATAGGATCAAGTGAGGAGCCTTGACGGAAGCTAAAGCGCAAGACTTGGGGGTCAAGCTGGTGACTATGGGGGCTTGGAGGAGTATGGGGGATGCAAACGCTATGTGGACCACGACTGCGCAGTGCCTTAGGGAAGTCGCGAGAGAGGTATTAGGGGTCTCAAAGGGTTACTCTGGTGGTCACAAGGGAGATTGGTGGTGGAATGGAGAGGTGCAAGGAAAAGTGAAAATCAAGAAAGCAGCGTATCTGAAGCTAGTGGAAAGTGTAGACGAGAAGGAGAAGAGGGCGAATAGGGAGCATTATAAGTTGGCTAAGAAAGAGGCAAAGCTAGCAGTTACGGCGACCAAGACTACGGCTTTAAGTCGTTTGTATGAGGAACTCGAGGGCCGAGGTGGGGATAAAAGGTTGTTCAGGTTATCTAAGGCACGAGTAAGGAAGGCACGTGACTTGGACCAAGTAAAGTGTATCAAGGACGAAGAAGGAAGAGTTTTGTTGGATGAGGGGCTTATCCTTCGGAGATGGCAGACCTACTTCCATAGTCTCATGAACGAGGAAGGGGACAGGAGCATTGTACTAGGTGATTTGGAACTCTCTGGGAGTCGTTGTGAATTTGGGTATTGTAGGCGGATTAGAGTTGATAAGTTGAGGGGGCTATACGTAAGATGAGCAGGGGCAAAGTGATCGGGCCGGATAAAATTTCGGTGGAGTTTTGGAAGAGTGCGGGCAAAGCAGGCTTGGAGTAGCTCACTAGGTTATTTAATGTCATTTTTAGAACGAAGAAGATGCCCGAAGAGTAAAGGTGGAGCACGAGGTTCATGTATACAAGAACAAGGGTGATACCCAAAATTGCAATAACTATCAGGGTATCAAGCTGCTTAGCCATACTATGAAAGTCTGGGAGAGAGTGGTGGAGCTAAGGGTGAGGAGGAGTGAGTCTCTTTCCAAGAACCAGTTTGGGTTTATGCCGGGGCTTTCGACTACAGAAGCCATCCACCTTGTTAGGAGATTGATGGAGCAATATAGGGAGAGAAAGAAGGACTTGCATATGGTGTTCATCGGCTTAGAAAAGGCGTACGATAAAGTTCCGAGGGAGGTTTTGTGGAGATATTTGGAGGCTAGAGGTGTACTTGTTGCCTACATTAGGTTGATTAAGGACATGTATGATGGAGTAAAGACCAGAGTAAGGACAGTGGGTGGGACTCTGACCATTTTCTGGTTATGATGGGGTTGCATCAAGGGTCGGCACTCGGCCCTTTTTTGATTGCTCTGTGATGGACGTACTGACGCGCCACATCCAAGGGGAGGTGTTGTGATGCGTGATATTTGCAGATGCTATTGTATTGATTGGCGAGACGCGAGACGGTATGAACGCGCAATTAGAGGTATGGAGGCAGACCCTGAAATCTAAAGATTTCAAGTTGAGCATGACCAAGACAGAATACTTGGAGTGTAAGTTCAGTGGCGAGACTCAAGGAGGGGAAGGGGAGGTGAGGCTGGACTCGCAGTCCATCCCTAGAAGAGAGAGTTTTATGTACCTTGGGTCTATTAGTCAGGGGGATGGGGTGATTGATGAAGATGTCACACATCGTATTGGGGCGGGATGGATGAATTGAAGACTCGCTTCCGGTGTTTTGTGTGACAAGAAGGTGGCACCGAAACTTAAGGGTAAGTTCTACAGAGTGGTGGTCAGATCAATGATGTTGTATAGGACAGAGTGTTGGCCAGTTAAGATCGCCCATGTCCAGAAGATGAGGTAGCAGAGATGAGGATGTTGCGATGGATGTGCGGGCACACCAGGTCAGATAGGATCAGAAATGAGGTTATTCGCGACAAGGTGGGTGTGGCCCCTAATGAAGACAAGATGCGGGAAGCGCGACTTAGGTGATTTGGGCATGTGGGGAGGAGGAGCACAGACGCCCCAGTGAGAAGGTGTGAGAGGTTGACATTGGAGGGACTGCGGAGAGGTAGAGCTAGGCTAGTGAAGAGGTGGGGAGAATTTATTAGGCAAGACGTAGCGCAGCTTCAGCTGACCGAGGACATGACCCTTGATGGGAAGGTATGGAGGTCGAGGATTAGGGTAGTAGAGTAGGTAGTCTAGAGTGTTCATAACAGTAGGATTGGCACGTAGTCTAGCTTTCTGTTGGTAGTAGGTTTTTATGACTAACCGTTATTTTCTTTCATTGTTGATCACCTTACTATCTTGTTGTTTTTATTCTGCTTTTATATGGCTTTTTGGTACTGTCCCTTTTTATCTATATTTGTATTAATATGGTGCTTATGCTTTACTGAGTTGAGGGTCTATTGGAAAAAACCTCTCTATCCTCACAAGGTAGGGGTAAGGTCTGCGTACACACTACCCCTCCAGACCTCATGGTGTGGGGTAATACTGGGTATGTTATTGTTGTTAATAATGTAGACTGTCACTATACAAAATATATACAAAATAAACTGTCACTATACAAAATATATACTAAATAGACTGTCAATATACAAAAAATATACAAAAAAAAACTGTCACTATACAAAAACAATACAAAATAGACTGTCACTATACAAAAAAAAAAAAAAAAAAAGATATTTCGGGCTATTAGATGTAATATTCTTAGGCCGGAGGGCCATTTCGTATCAATGAGGAAAAATATGGGCAATTAAAATTTTAAGAGATTATAGAGGGTCATTTTCTCAATTATCTTTTCTTTGTAGCTTTTTCCCCGTAGTAGCAAAACTGCTTTCGCCACGGCTCAAATGCACCTCACATATTAATATTAATTATAAAACACTGTTCTTTACCCAAACACCTTAAATTTTCGTACATAAAAAAGTGGCCTTACAATTTTTGTTTTCTAGACAGCTACAGATCAATATTGCGTAAAGGTATTATATGAAGTGGAAGAAGAAGACTTTTTTTTTTTTTTACATATCTATACTATTTTTGAAACTTATTTACCCTCAATATTAAAGTTTTAATTTAATTACACGTGGATATACAATTTTCTATTCATATACAAAATAATGCATTAGACTCCAATTTTACATATCTATTTATCCATTTCACTCATCTTCTTCCCTCCTTATTCTCATTTTGATGTCCAGAGAATGAAAGGTGTTTGGATTAAGCTACCCATTGAATTTGCTCATCTTGATTTCCTAGATACTCATTAAAACTAATTTTTGAAATACTTAATTACTGAAAAATAGTGAACGCGTTGTTCACTCGCATAAGATTTGAAGTTTTCATCACCATATCTTTAATAAATAGTCATTGACAGCCATTAAAAAGCTTTGAAGCTTTGAATTGGAAAATCAAATTTTGCAAAATTGGTATTTATTTGAACTGAGTGTTGTTGCAAATGATTGGGAATATCCTTTGAAGTTTATATCTCAATTTTGAGAGAGTTTAATTTGGTGAAGATTCGAAGTGATTTTAGTTAAAATTTCATATTGAAACTCGAAGAAGAAGACATAAATAAATTGTATATATTTTGTATGTCGGTTGTAGAAACAACATACACAATATATACAACTTACATAATTGTATACAAGTTGTATATAAATGTATGTAAATTGTAGTTTTTGACCGAATTCTGTAGAAAAAATATTATATTTTAATTTATAGATAAATTACAGATATATATATATGAAAATGTCCCAAGAAGGTAAAAAGGTAAAAAGAATCTTCTCTTCTAGAAAATATTGATACGCAGTTGATATCGGGCGAAATTTACGCCGTAATATCCAATTGAGGGCGTATATTTCTGCCCCCCGCTTATCTTGGCTAACCGTCTTTCCCCTAGTCTCGGCTCTTCACTCTGCTCGAACTAGATGCTCGGCCATGCCTGGTCTCGGGTGCACCATTCGTCCTACCTGGGCTCTAAGACATGGAATCCCTCGGCTTTACTCGAGGCCATGTCAGATCGTGCTTCCCTCTCGTTTCTTTACCAGGAAATAGGAGATAACTTTATCTCCGATTTTACCCGTATATAGATAGTCCCCTCACTTTACGGAGAGCAGATTTATCGAAACAACGATAAGTGACAAACTGACCCCGGTTCCTTCCACCTTATTCAACAAACGGGCTGATGGGCCAGCGAAACGTCCCTGCAATCGCGTCGTTCTGACTTCACATGTGTCAACCGCCGGTTGACCATCCTTGAATGCAAAACGTCACGCATTAAATATTTTCCTCCTATAAAAGCTTCGGGATTTTTTTGCACTTTTTTACTTTCTGATTTTGAATCTTCTTAAGTTACCCTCGAAATTTTTACTTGTTCATCATTCCCTCAAATCTTCACGAATTGTTCTTCACTTTTTCATTTCTTCATCCTTAGCCTTCAAATCTTCATATTTCGCCTTTAAATCTTCAAGCCAAACCTTCAAATCTTTATACCATCTTCAAACCTTCATACCTAGTCTTCAAACCTTCATATTCTCATATAACGATGGCAAAAACTTCAAAGACTCAACAAACCGCTCATTCAACTTCTGCCCCGGCTGTTGATGTCGAAGCGACCCTCTCGGTAGCAGCCCCAGAACCTCCTCTTCTTAATTTTATCTCCGGAGGCTACTCTATAGACAACAACTTTAAGGTCGTAAAGACTTCCAAACAAGGAGATCGGTGTGAGGAGGTATAGAGGTATATCTGTTCCATCACTGAAGATACGCTCCCGACGGTTTGGGAGGAATGCAAGTGGGAAGGCAAGGAAGTAGTCATCCCCGACCCCGATGAGGACATCACCACACACGTGGAATGGTACTTAAGCGTTTATACATACCCCTTAACGCTTGGCCCGATGTATACGATAGTCCTTGATTTCTGCAAAGGGTACGAGGTCTGCCTCGGGCAGATCCACCCATCTTTTTGGAGGATTGTGATTCTCCTTCGTCCCTTTGTCAACAACACGGAGGAGCCCTGGTTCACTATCAACTATGTGCTCCGCATCTACGGCCCCCGAATCTTCCGAGAGGGGGCTAATCAAGCTTGCCCGTCGGGAAAAAAAGGCTCCATTCTTGAGCATTGATGAAGACATGGATCGATGTTTGCAAGGGAGATTGGTTAGGGTGAAGACCGATGATCTCATCCCTTCCGAGTTCCTACCGTTCCCTGAGAAATGGAACCTAACACGTAAGTTCATCTCTACTTAAGTTGTTAAAATTTGAATTTATTCTTTTTTCTCATCGCCTAGCTTTCCCGTTGTGCAGCGGTCGCCCGAGTCCCCAATGCAGTCCCCTATTTTAAGGAGTGGTTCGAGGGGATCTGTAAGCAATTGACATACTACGAGCGCGAGTGGCACAAAATTTCAAAAGGCAAATATGAGGCTCATTCCTATGGTAATATCCTTCTTCTACTGATTGAATTTCCTTTTCATTCCACTGTTATTTTGACTAAGTTCCTTTCTTCCTTTCACAGGTTTGCCCAAGACCACCAAGTTTTGGGCAGTGGACGAGGATAAAGTCTCGTGCCCATCTACAAAACGCTCCACCTCGAGACAGTCTGTTGCCGAGGCCGCTAAGAAGAAGGAGGAGAAATAGAGATGAAAGAGGGAGTACTCCGACTCCTCAGATGCTGCATCCGAGGCCATGAAAAAGAGGATCATGTCCAGGGTCAGAAAGAGTACTCGGGCCGGGGTACCGGACCCTGATTCTCTTTACTGACTCAGGGAGTACCC